GCATGGTGGCGGGCGCCTGTAGTCCCAGCTGCTGGGGAGTCTGAGGCAGGAGAATGGCGTGAACCCAGGAGGTGGAGCTTGCAGTGAGCCAAGATCGCACCACTGCACTCCAGCCTGGGTGACACAGCAAGACTCCGTCTCAAAAAAAAAAAACAAAACAAAACAACAAATCAAGCAGAAAAGGCGAGTGCTGTTTCACTAAGATTTCCATCAAGTATAAAGAAAATAAGTTTTGTACAAGGAACTTAAACAAATTTACCAGAAAAAAACAACCCCATCAAAAACTGGGCAAAGGTTATGAACAGATGCTTCTCAAAAGAAGACATTTATGTAGCCAACAGACATGAAAAAATGCTCATCATCACTGGTCATTAGAGAAATGCAAATCAAAACCACAATGAGATACCATCTCAAGTCAGTTAGAATGGCAATCATTAAAAAGTCAGGAAACAACAGATGCTGGAGAGGATGTGGAGAAATAGGAATGCTTTTACCCTGTTGGTGGGAGTGTGAATTAGTTCAACCATTGTGGAAGACAGTGTGGCAATTCCTCAAGGATCTAGAACTAGAAATACCATTTGACCCAGCCATCCCACTACTGGGTATATACCCAAAGGATTATAAGTCATTCTACTATAAAGACACATGCACACGTATATTTATTACAGCACCATTCACAATAGCAAAGACTTGGAACCAACCCAAATATCCTTTAATAATAGACTGGATAAAGAAAATGTGACACATATACACCATGGAATACTATGCAGCCATAAGAAAAGATGAGTTCATGTCCTTTGCAGGGACATGGATGAAGCTGGAAATCACCATTCTCAGCAAACTATCACAAGAATGAAACACCAAACACCACATGTTCTCACTCATAAGTGGGAGTTAAACAATGAGAACACAGGGAGGGGAACGTCACACACTAGGGCCTGTCAGAGTGGGAGTTAGGGGAGGGATGACATTAGGAGAAATACCTAATGTAGGTGACGGGTTGATGGGTGCAGCAAACCAACATGGCACGTGTATACCTATGTAACAAACCTATATGTTCTGCACTTGTATCCCAGAACTTAAAGTATAATAAATAAAAAATAAAATAAAATAAAAATAAAGTTCCAGAGCAGGAAAACTAATATACTTTGACAGTAACCAGTCCACATTATTTTAATGGGTTGTTTACTGGGTGATAAATTAGGAAACTTTTTGTGATGATGTAAACATTGATTTATGTGTGGAGGGGGTGGATGTGATTCAAAGGTGTATTTATTTTCTAAAGTTAGTTAAATTGTACCCACAAAATCATTTCACTGCATGTAAATTATACCACGTTAAAATATTATAAAAAATTGTATAACATCTGAATGTAAAAAAAGAAAATAAGTTTTGGCTATGCTGGGAAATTTTCCTAAGCAGTTGAATAAATGAGGCATTGCTCCAATGAAAAGAGCTCTGATTTCCATTTTGTATGAAATACCTGTGTATGTGTGTGTGTACTAATAGGGCTCCTTCAGTTTGGATTTGGCTTATTACAAAGAAGAGTTTAAAATCCAACATTTGAAAGTATGCCTTCTCAGCCGGGCGCGGTGGCTCATGCCTATAATCCCAGCACTTTGGGAGGCTGAGGCGGGTGGATCATGAAGTCAAGAGATAGAGACCACAGAGTGAGACTCCGTCTCAAAAACAATAATAATAAAAAAAAAAAGAGATTGAGACCATCCTGGCCAACATGGTGAAACCTTGTCTCTACTAAAAATACAAAAATTAGCTGGACGTGGTGGCAGGCATCTGTAGTCGCAGCTACTCAGGAGGCTGAGGCGGGAGGATCACTTGAACCCCAGAGGGGGAGGTTGTGGTGAGCCGAGATCGCGCCACTGCACTCCAGCCTGGGTGACAGAGCAACACTCTGTCAAAAATACATATATGGTGTGTGTGTATATATATATATCTCCTCTTCTTTCCCTTTGTTCCCATGGTGATTTTTATCTGTGCTATGGAGGACCTAGTGGCTAAGGGGTAATAAGTAAAAATTATATACATAAAAAGATAATGCTACAAAAGTTACTTTTTACAGTCAGCTATTTGTAAACTGTAGTGCATTTTCCCATTGAAACAAAGTAATTCATGACTGGCTTCCCAGGCCAACCCACAAAAGCATATTGAATCTTTAATGTCTATGTGGTATATAGTATTGTGCTAATTGTACTATAGGACCCAACTGCCATCCTGAAGTTCCCATGGATAAATGCATTTCGTTAGAATTACAGGAGCACATTGTTCTTTGCTTCCCTGAGGGGATGGTGGCTGCGCTGTCCCAAATTCTTGCCCACTTCTTCCTCCCTACGATTGCCACTATCGTCAGAGCTGATGTGTACGGCGTCTGGTGCATTTTCTCATCTGGTTTAGAGGGAGCACTCTCAGCTTGAGACCATAGGTCATGACTCTGGGAGTCTGGGGCAGAGGAGCCCAAAAGACCAAGAGCTGGAGGGAGATGATAGAGGTAGATGGAAGTGAAGGGTTCAGTGAGAAGTTTTGGGGCTGCATCCCTGTGCTAAAGAGCCCTGTGTGGATACTGTATTCTAGGAACCTGGGACAGTCTACTGCCTCTTTTCCTTGACAGCCAGTGCTTGTATGGGGCCCCTGGACCAGGAGCAGCCCTGTTTCATTCCCCTGTGGCTGAGGAGTGTGATCATATGTGGCTGCTGTGTCTTCCTCTGAGAAGGGACAGTGGCTGCAGGCACTGAGATTGATATCCCCAGCACAATGTTTCCCAAAGAGATCCGTACATCTGGTGGTACCCAGGGGGATTTCACTTGCTACATGCAGGAAAAAATTTTGTTTTAAATGTTACATATTTATTTTTATAGTTACCTTCTTCTTCTTCTTCTTCTTCTTCTTCTTTTTTTTTTGAGACAGACTCTTGCTCTGTCGCCAGGCTGCAGTGCAGTGGCGTGATCTTGGCTGGCTGCAACCTCCACCTCCTGGATTCAAGTCATTCTCCTGCCTCAGCCTCCCGAGTAGCTGGAACTACAGGCGTGTGCCATCACTCCCAGCTAATGTTTGTATTTTTAGTAGAGGTGGGGTTTCACCGTGTTGGCCAGAGTGGTCTCGATCTCTTGACCTTGTGATCTACCTGCCTCGGCCTTCAGAAGTGCTGGGATTACAGGCTTGAGCCACTGCGCCCGGCCTTTACCTTCTATTTATAGCAAGAGATACTGGTTTTCCATTTATGGTAGCGATGTATATTTCCTATTAAAACTTTAAGCCCAAAGTAAATTGATTTAAAGAAAAAAGTACAGGAAGTGCATGTGTGTGAGAGACTGCTGTTTGGTGAACTGCTCTAGTAAAAGGGTACACTGTCAAGTGAGATAAAGCAGACTACAAATAGTATAGGTTGTGGGATTCCATTTTTATTTTTTTATTATTTATTATTATTATTTTTGAGATGGAGTCTCGCTCTGTCGTCCAGGCTGGAGTGCAGTGGTGCGATCTTGGCTCACTGCAGCCTCTGCCTGCCAGGTTCAAGCGATTCTCTGCCTCAGCCTCCCAAGTCGCTGGGATTACAGGCGTGTACCATGATACCCAGCTAATTTTTGTATTTTTAGTCGAGATGGGTTTTCACCATGTTGGCCAGGCTGTCTTGAACTCCTGGCCTCAAGTAATCTGCCCACCTTGGCCTCCCAGAATGCTGGGATTACAGGTGTGAGCCACCGTGCCTGGCCAGATTCCAGTTTTAAAAACACATGGTGTACATTTCAACATATAGTTACCCTCATGAAAAGATAAGTATGGAGAGACAGAAACCAAAGTATTGACAGTAGTTGGTTATCTATGGAAGGTGGGATTAAAACTGATTTTCCAAATTATTTTTTTCTCTTCTTGCTTAGATTTTCTCATTCTTTCTGCACTGACAGTGTATTCCTTCTGTGATAAAAACATAGCTGGAAAGCCCATGTCACTTTCTGTCCTCCTGTCGTCTCCTCTTCGCCTCTTCCTCCAGTTACATGCTTGCTTCTTCCTGTTCTCCTCAAGAATGAACGTGGGTAACTGCTGCCTTCTTTGTGTTTTGAGTGACTGTTTAACTATTTTTTCCTCCAACTTAAAATGCCAGTAGATTTTATTTCACTAAGAAAGTAAAAAATACATTTAAATTTATGCACAAATGGTTCTTGGAGGTGGTAAACTATATGCTGCCTTTAAGTGCCTTTAAGTCTTGCTGCCTTGATGGGCCACAAGACAGGGTAACAGTTGGGAGGGATTGTCAAGATAGTCCCTCTGAGACAACCACCAGAATAAGACTGGAAGGCCTGCTTCTCCTCTCTTCACTTTATTAACTCACTGGGTTACCTTAGCTTAAGCAAGACCCCTGAGAGTCCCCATTTCTGCAGCTGGGTCAGACGATAATCCAGATTCCCAGATTCCATATGAATGAATCAGTAAGCCCAGGGACATGGACTCACAGTTTGGAGGAATTGCTTGAGAATGGTAACTGAGATGGAGCTAAACTGTTAGCTTTACCACTGTATATAGGTGACCCATTCATCTGAGTTTGCCCAGGACTTTCATTTTTTTAAGCCATGAAAGTCTTATATCTTGGGCACTCCCAGTCCTGGGCAAAGAGGGACACTTGGCCACCCTAACCGCAGATGTTTAGGTCAAACACAGTGGTATTGGCAACATGGAGAGGATGGGAAAACTGTGTAGTCAAATATCTTCCTAGCCAATCTCCCAGGGAAAGATAGTAGATACTCAATATCATAAATGTAATACCTTTCTCATGAAATGCCATTTTGAATACAAGTTTAGTCGACAGCACCACTTGTTCTGAATGATGTACCCCAAAGTGGCTGCAATATCATTCCCACCTTTTCCAGAGATTATCAGCCCTCATGCAATGGCTGCTGAGCTCCAGTAGCCAGAGGGGAAGAAATGATATGTCCTCACCTCACTTTTTGTAATCTTATTCATGTTTGCAATTTTAATCATTTCTACAGAGAAAAGGCAAACCTTGCTGTTACCCTCTGCAATGACAAGGAGGAGATCATGGCCCAGGCCACCTTCCTGGACTACCCCAACTGGAATGTTGCCAAGCAGGACGACTGGGTGTCAGTGTTCCGGGAGCTCGACAGTGACATCCCATGCACAGTAAGAAATCACATACAATGCTTATTAGAACACCCTGAATCTTGAGGGGGAGTCCTGTGTTTGTAATTATGTCTTTCCAAGTTTTGCACTGAACAGTGTATGACATCATGACACTTAAAAGTGAAGGTAGCTGGTGGGGAGGAAAAGGGCTGAGAGTAGTGCCAGAAGGGATAGGAAAGGGCAGGGAGTTGCCAAGTTGGCTAGCCGCTGGCAAGGCCTGGATCATGCTCCACTAATGAGGGCAGGGGAGGAATTAGTGGAAGTGTCAAACGTGTGCTTCCAGGTCTCGTGTTGTTCTCCAGGCGTCAGTGTCCAAGGTCATTGATATGTTAGGAGAGCACCTGCCATCTACACGCTTGCCCTTGTAATCATGACAGCAGAGCCTCAGACTTCTGTCACATTCTATAATTTTCAAAATGCCCTCGTGAACCTTGGCTTATTTAATATCTTCTAGCTGCCGGCACATGACAACTTGTCGGCCAACAGAAGCTAGGTTAGTGGTTCCCAGGAGTCTGGCCTGGGTACCTGGTGCCAAATGTGAGCTTTCCCTACATGCAACCTGCCAGAGCCAGGCTAGAGACAGGCCCCAGTTTTTGTGGAGTGCCAGAGGCTGCAACTCTGGGCAGCACCCTTGCCTTATGGTGGAATTCTGCAGCATGTCCCCAGAGCCCTCATGTCAGAAGAAAAGGGAATGCCAAATGAGTGTGTGGGTGAATTCACCCCCCGTACACGTGTGTAAATGTGCACACATGCACACACCCCTAAGCAAATTATTCAGCATTTATTTCACTAGATGGTGCCTTCCTCTCATCTTTTGTGCTCTCTCCTACCCTGCCACCCTGTATACCCAAGGACTGTTGTCAGAAAAATTATCCCAAACTTGGAAATAGACCAAAAAGATTATTTCAGTCCGATGCTTGCACCTTTGGTTGACTAGCCTGTTTTACAATGCTGTAGGAATGGCGATTAGCCTGTAGATTTTTGTCCATTAGGATGTAAAGAATTCCTGTCTGGAAAGAGGCAACCTCAAAGTTTATGGTTTATTATGGTTATTTGGTATCTAATCCAGCAATCTTATTCTTTCCTTTTCCTAGTAAATCAGCTGAAGTATCCAGCTCTTCAAGTGCAAAGAATCATTTTTATCATCTCACTGGTTGCCTCACTAATTGATGAGTTGAAGTTGAATAAACCTCTGATAGATTTTTTTTTTATATTTGCATTAGGGTTATGATTTTATCTTTCTGAAAATTATAAATTAACACTCTTACTCATAAACACATGTCCCTTCTGTTTCTTTTCAAACTATCTTCTATGACAGCATAGAGCTGGGCTGTCCAATGTGGTTGCCACCAGCTTTATGTAACTAATGAACACTTGAAATGTCGCTAGTCTGAATTGAGGTGTTCCATAAGTATAAAATATGCCAGATTTCAAATACTTAGTAGAAAACAAAGAGCGTATAATATCTCCTTAATGATTTTTATAATGATTGCTTGTTAAAATGATACTATTTTGAATATATTAGGTTAAATATTAAATTAAATATTAAACATTAATTCACCTGTTTGTCATTATTCTTTTTTAATGTGTCTACTAGAAAATTTGAAATGACGTTTGTGGCTTGCATTGCTTTTCTGCTGGATGTCACCAGTATATAGAGCCTTAAGGTTTAATGTAATACCTATCCCAGGGGTATTTGCAGCTGAAGTAATGATTTTTATCCTAAAGCTAAAGAATAAATCTTGCATTGTCATATTTATGATGGAAGAGAGAATTTGGGAGACAAATCAAGCAAATCATAAGCCGTGTGCTCCTGAGGCTAGCCCTATTCAGAATGTAAGGCAGATGTTGAGTGAGATTATTGTGGGATTAAATGAGTGAATACACAGCAAGTGCTTAAAATCATGTTGTCGTCATCATTATCTGGACTTTTGGGATTTGTATTGTTTCCCTTTTGGGAGTTTTCTAGCTCATGAATCAAAACACAGTTCTCCTCTTGCACTTTTAGGCGCTATGTAGTTCTTTCCGAGTGCTTCTGAGTCACACACCATCCAACAGAAATGGGGGCAAGGCACACAGAAGTGCCATTGGTCCCACAAAGCTGTCTAGAAAGTTATTCAAAAAACAAGAAACCTAGGCAGCACCCGTGCTGTCCTGATATAGGTGCCAGCACTACCCTCACCAGTCAGCCAGTCCACGTCTGCACTATTTCCAGAATTTGAAGATTTGTTCATAAGCACAGAGGTACCAAGTTGAGTGGACCAATGTGTGGATGTTTGAACCACTTACTCATTGTTTAGGCCACTTTAAAAATCTGCAGGAGGAGGAGACAAAGCTCTTTTAAACCTTGGAAGATTTAACTGGAAAGTCATGTTAGAATCTTGCTACTGTGAGTTTTCAGCTCCCAGGTTTTCTGGATCCCAAGAGTAATATTTGATTCTGACTCTGGGAATGTTGAACAAAACAAGCCAATGGATTCTGAACGTGGCATCTGCCTTCCATTTTTCAAATTCATAAGAGAATCTCTCCCGCCTGTCACATGAATAGAGCAGCAGCTGCTGACTCAAGAGCGCCGGGAAAAGGGTGATTGTCTTTCACTTGGCATAGACACCCCTGAGGACAAGACTACTGAGTTAATAATCGATTTCACTCCCCTGCAGGCTCTTCCCTGCCCACAGCTCATTCGTGAGGGCAGGAGGAAGGACGGGCGCTCTGGACTCATTTACGATCCCTGTTTCCTTGAATAATTCTGAGCGAGGAGGACAGAAGGCGGCAAACGGACTCAGTGAGACAGCTCCAATGCCGCCTGGGTGTTGCATCACTTAAGACATAAAATATCAACCCTGAATGCCAGGCTGTTCTGTGTCTGTGGATGCCCCGAAACCCTCCTCCAACCCTGCTCTGACCTAGCCCGAATGCTGACTCAGCCTTTAATCCGTGTTCTCTTTTCTTCTGCAGCCCCTGAATACGTTGTTCATGCACCTCTTTGTGGCCGTGGATGAGTATTCTGTTGGCTGTTGCAAAGAGATTCTTCGGTGAGTGGATGGGGCGGTGCAGTGGTGAACATGAAAGAGACTATGTGGATAGTTTTGAAATAGTTTTTAAAAGACATGAAATTCTTTGGGGTGTTTAATTTGGTTGTAATTTGTGGCTATATTAAAATATTTACTTTGAATAGCAATCATATTTCTGAAAGAAGATAATTCTTTGAATCTGTTGTCCATTCTGCACGCTGATATCATTTGAGGCAAACTGGTAGTACAGTAATTTAAAGAAATGGATTTGGGGTGAGAGGAGTAGGAGAAGAGTTAAGTGTCACAAGCTTGGACATTTCTAAAAACTGCTTTTCTTCATCTTATCCTTAGAAATGTTTGTTAACATGACAGACTTCAAAGCATCCTGAATAATAGGATGCATGGAAAATGACCAGCAGGGCTACTGAGTCATGGCGCTGTGTCTCTGACAGCCTCTGACAGCCTGCACAGACATTTGGGGGTGGTGACCGCAGCTTTCAAGTCACTTTGTAATGTCACACCAGACCGTCCAGATGCCAGGTCAAAGGTTAATATTAGCAGAAATCTGGTGTGCCATATGAACATGGCACCCTTTATTCTCTCTGCCTCCATGGGACAGATCGAAAAGGGGCCCTTTAGAACCCAAGGAAAAATAGAGAAGAAAAAGAAATTGCCTTGAGGCTGTTCTTGCCATTGCAGGTGGGGAGCAAAGGAGCCCATGTGGATTTAGGAGCACCGCACCTTTTTAGCGACAGCATTTGTCTTCATAAAGTGCCAGCTAATGGGACTGCTTTGTTATTAACACCAGCCCACCCTCTCTTTCCTCACCAGAACCGTGTATAAGGCAGTGCCAGAGCTGCACTTCATATTTCTCATCGTGCCGTCCTACATGAGCCTAGGTAAGGCCTGCCCAGCCACCTCTGGTCCCCAGTAGCAAACATTGAAAATTCACTCCCAGAATGGTGCTTTGGGGAATGAGAAATAAGAATGGTCTCCAGGCCCTCAATGTATCATGTGCATATTTGATTAGAACAATTAAAGCACAATTTAGAATGGAAACTACATTTTGTTCTGACATCCCAAATTTATTTCTTGATAAATAAGGACATGTTTCTTTATCTCTGTGATTTAGGTTCAACTCTCATAACTGTTTTTGACCAAGTGGGGAACATTCCATGTCCGACGTATGAGGAAGACTTTGCAGTGCATATATGTCACAGGCACAGCCACTATCCTCAGCTGCACGTTCGCAAAGCCAGGTACGGTTGGAGTCATGCCTTGTGTGACCTAAGCTTGCTTCACTGGGATAGTCATCTTCCCAAGACTCTTTCAACTACCAATGCTAAGTGACCATAGCTCAGATAAAAAATTTTTTACAATACGCATAAACATTACTTCATTTGGATATCTTTATAGTTCCCCTTAATGACATTATTTGCAGGACTATCTGATGATACTCATTTCGTTCTATGTGGCTATAACGTTATGCATTGACTCCTTAGGGGTTTCTGAAAACATACAATCCTAGGTCCCACGCCAGTAAGATAACTTCCAAATAAAACAAGCTTGAAAATGAACCTGCCTATTCAGTTTTCCTGGTAAAACCCAACTATTTTCTGACATTCAGTGAGTGAGGATGCTGTTGACCCCAAAGAGGGGTTTTCCAAGTTGAAGGTCTCTACCATCAGGTGCCCCAAGTTCAGCAGTTTTAGGGAGATGGCTGTGGCAGTGTTTTCCAAAGATGGCTGCCATACCACCTTCCACCCCGCAGGCTCTTCTTTGATGTGACCTTGCCACTCCTCTCTTCAAGCCTTGGGGGTTTCATCCTCTCTTCCTGGAGCTGGGTGGGTTGTGACTACTTTGACCAGTAGACCATGGCCAAAGGGGTGCTCTGGGACTTGTGAGGCTGGAAAGCGTCTGCCTGGCACTCTCAGGATGCTTGCTCTGGAGGAAGCCAGCCGTATGTAAGAAGTCTGGAGAAGCCACATGTTCACAAGGGAGGGGTGGTTGACAGCCCCAGCTGGGCTCCTGCTGACAGTTAGCTTCCACTGCCCACTGTGTGAGCGAGCCGTTGTGGACGCCCAGCCCAGGAGAGCCCGATATATCTACAGCACAGCTGACCTCTGATTGGAGCCACATGAAAGACCCAAGTGAGGATGCCCAGCTGAGCCCTGCCAGAGTTCTGACTCACACAACCATGAGCGATGTAAAGTGGCTGTTAGAAATAAGAGTGCATTATGAAATCATCTCACAGGGGTGGTTGCTTGGCTTATCAGTGAAGAATAAATTGTATCTTTTAGGATCAGCCATTGCTGTGTTTGAGGAATGCTGACTTTCTTTAGAAAAGTATTTTAAAAGTTTTAAAAACTTTACAAAAGTAAGAGCCTATCATTTACCAGGCATGTAGCAGTAGTATGGCATTGTTGTTAAGAGTTTGCAATGCTGGCATCAGATTGATGTGGATTCTGATCTTGGCTCTCCTGCTTACCAGGTGGGTTAACTTACAAAAGGAAAGTGAACTCTGCGGGGGTGTAAGTTCCCTCTGTCAGTGGATGTAAGCCCATTGTCTACAACACAAGATTGTGATGATTGTGAGCTAATGAATGTCAAGCACATAGCACACTTCCTGCCACATGTAAGGGCCCAGGAAATATTAAATATTATTATGACAGAGGGCCTTAGAGTTAAGTGGTAGGGAGGGACTCACTTCAGTTAACTGTCACGTTGGTAGCTGAGAAGCGGGGTGCACAGAGAGAGATGAAGATAGCTTCATTACAACCGCTCCCCCCGCCCAAAAAAAAAAACCTCTAATTGTCCATCCATCAGTAAATGTTGTTTACTCTTACAAACTGTGGTATATCTATACAGTGGATGCTACTCAGCAATTCAGCGGAATGAACCATTTACATATAGTAGCGTGAATCAATCTCAGAAGGTTTATGCTGAGTGAAGGCAGACTTGGAAACAAAAAGTGTATACAGTACTGCTGATTACACTTGTATGATGTACAAAATGGGTGAAAAGCATCCATAGAGATAGGAATCAGATAGAGATAGAAACCAAGATCATGGAGATCATGACACAGGCTGGAATTCTAGCAGCGACAGGTCACAGAGATCCACGTTGTTGACAAAAAGAGTCAAACTCGGTAAAATGTTTGAAGAGATTTATTCTGAGCCAAATACGAGTGACCAGGGCTTTGCAACAGCCGCACGAGGTCCTGAGAACTTATGCCTGAAGTGGTTGGGCTACAGCTTGGTTTTATACATTTTGGGGAGATATAAGACACAAATCAATAAACGTAAGATGTGCATTGGTTCAGTCTGGAAAGACAGGACAACTCAAAGCAGGGAAGGGCCTTCCAGGTCATAGGCAGATTCAGAGATTTTCTGATTGGCAGTTGGTTGAAAGGGTTTATCTAAAGACCTGGAATCAATACGAGGGAGTGTCTGGGTTAAGACGGGGGTTATGGAGACCAAAGTTCTTATTGTGCAGATGAGGCCTCCAGGTAGCAGGCTTCAGAGAGAATAGATTGTAAATATTTTTTATCGAACTTAAAAATATGCCTGACTCTTAGTTAATTCTCTCTTGGATCAGGAAAAAAAATGCCTGGAAAGGGAAGGGGATTCCCCACAGAATGCAGAATTTTCCCAGAAGAGACAGCTTTACAGGGCCATTTCAAAATATGTCAAAGAAATATATTTTGGGGTAAAATACTTCAGTTTATTTCAGGGCCTGCCCTGCTGTCATGTTGGTATCTTATTCCTACAAAGAGTCTGTTCTGTCATTCTTAAGGTCTCTGTTTTCATGCTAATCCTGGTCAGCTGTGCCTTAATGCCAAAGGGAAAGTATAATGAGGCATGACTGACCACCCATTCCCATCATGGGCTGAACTGGTATTTCAGGTTTATGTTGGAATACCCTTGGCTGAGAGGAGGAATCCATTCAATTGGTTTGGGGGGCTTAGAATTTTATTTTTGGTTTACATGGTGGGGAAAGGATCAGGTCAGGTGCATAGATACAGAGAGACATGTTAGAAAGTAGCACTTGGTTACAGTTGGATGGGGGAGTTGAGGGATGAGGAGTTAATGGTAATTCAGGTTTAGGGGAAATGGTGATTTTATTAACTGAAAGTAGAAATAATAGATTTAAATGGACAGGAGAAGGTTGGAAATCGAAATAGAGGGAAAAGCCAGGTTTGAGATACACATTTGTGAGTTGTCAGTTTGTCGATAAGTGGGGAGATCATGAAAATGAAGGAGATCGTCTTGCTGAGGGGGAGATTGTACTGTGAAAAAGCATAGGACCAACCAGGGCAGAACTTTGAAAAATGAAAATAAGCTATGAATAATAAGAAAGAAAACTAGAAGAGAGGGAGAGGAATATAGAAGAAATTCAGACTCATAAAGTGGCGAAAGATGCAGGGCAATGAAATTATTTGAGTAAAAGAGAAGCCATTAGATTTGGCAATTTAAAAAGGCCCAGATAGGATGAATAAAACTGATACTTCCAGCCAAACTGACCAAGAAAAAAGACAAATTGCCAGTATCAGGAATGAAAGAGGTGATATCACTACAGATCCTACAGGGATTAAAAGATTAATACAGGGACACTACAAATAACTCAATGTCAATAAATCCAACAATTTAGATAAAAATGGGCCAATTGCTTGAAAAACACAAATTACCAAAACTGATTTAAGAAAAAATAGATAACTTGGATGCTTCCATATCTATTAAAGAAAAATCAGAAGAACTTTGGGTAAGAGGGAGGGGGCCCACCTGCCCAGACATTGGCCTCTCCCCAACCCACAGCCTGATTTGCTCTTTTTCTCCTTTTTCTCTGCCTGGCGACAGAACGAGACTGTCTAAAAAAAAGAAGAAGAAGAAGAAGAAAAAAAAGAGTTTCCCCATCTGTTAGGTCAAAATAGTATTTTGTTGCTTTAAATTGCATTTGTCTAAATGTGTGAGAGTTTGAGTGCCTTTTATAGGTTCCATTTTAAATGAATAAAATACTTGAATTTAAAGTAATTTCCAGTTAAGCTAACATCCTACTGGATGATTAAACATGTTCCTACAAAGGAGGCAATTCTAGACAATTTCAAAGGATTAGGCAGGGGATAGATATGAGTTAGTTACAACTGACAGAGGCAAATTTCTGAAAGTGTTTTCTTAAGTTTTAGTCAGGATACTCGACTTGTATCTTGGGAATTATCATTTTCTGGAGGTATGTAGGGCTTAAGTACTTTCAACTTAGTTATTCAGCAAGGCATTATTGTAATAGAAAACTTGTATATAAATCCAACACTGAAAATGACATGTATAGAAACAGCCCATCCAAAAATTCCCTATTCCTTTCACTTTTTAGTAAGGTATTGTCTATTAATTTACTCCCTAATACCCTACTTGTCACTCAGGATGCAGGGTGCAGGAGAAAAGGTGTGGGATGTGCTCAGCCAAGTGCCTGGCTCCCAGTAAGCATTTGGTAACAGATGGTTGTGGTTTGGTCTCCCTTTCTCCCTCCTTTCCTTCCTCGCTTCCTCCTTCTCTTCCTTTCTTCTCTTGAAAACTTGAGTGCTATGGACTATAACCTTCAGTAGACAAGGCTCACAAAACTTGAAATAAACCTGGATACCTTAACCTGAGGTCTTGCACATATGGCCCCTGATGGTGTGCCCACAGAAAATCTGAAAGAAGCAAAGCACAGGAGGAGTGGTAGCAAAGAGGTGACAGTGGATACTTTGCAGTGAGGAAGGGATGTTTGTAAGAAGATAAGTGGACAGTAGTGAATTCATGTGGAAATGAATTGTATGACAGTATGGCAGTTGGTGCCTTTGCCTGCAGAAGGTAGAGAGGTGTGGCACATTTTAGAAAGCCCTTGATCCACATGTTCAAATTCGAGTTTTGATACTTGCAGGCACAGGATTTCATGTATCTGGAGAATGCAGTTGTGTGGACTACCTCCCTCCTTAAGAACGCTAGAAAAATGGAGACTTTACAGAAGTCAAACGGGCATGGCTGTGTGGCTCTTAGGCTACTTCCTTTCTCTTATTTCCCTCACGTGTTTTTTGACATCCGTTGCAACGATAGTTACTTGCACTGATAGTTAATGGTGAAGGACACAATTCTTTTTTTCTTTTTTTGAGATGGAGTCTCATTCTGTCGCCAAACAACACAATTCTTTTTTTTTTTTTTTTTGAGACGGAGTCTCACTCTGTTGCCCAGGCTGGAGTGCAGTGGGGCGATCTCTGCTCACTGCA